ATTTAAAGTAATCCAGTCAAACCTTGTCCGGTTTAATATCCGGATAAACACTTTACAGCAAAAAGACTGATTTCTATTCATATTCAAACAAAAATTCATATGAAACCAGTAATAATTTTTATGCRAAAGAGTTTTAGAAACTACTCACCTTATGCAATCAAATGAGATTCAACTTCTTGAAATCAGACACTTGAATCTTCTTTACAAGAGTAATCCGGTCAATCTTTCCTCTTTTAAATCGCACAACTTTTAGCAAATACAAGAAGAGAAAATATGGAGGCTCAGCCTCCCTTTTATACTTTTCCAAAACTAGAAAGGCGGCTAACCCAGCCCTTTTTTTTCACAAAACTCACATGCATGCATGCATACACCTTGTTCATATATATAAATATATATATATATATATACCATGCATACATGTAAACACATAACATATGCATTTCATATTATGCACATTTTCATATCTCAGCATGATCAAACGTAACAATTTATCATGCTATCACGTAATCATTTAATCAAATAATCAAATATTATTTACCTTGGGTGATAACTAGAATCCGGTTATCACAATAGGCCAATTTATCCATAAGGATTCTAATTTGCTCAAAATGACACGAATTGGGTCGTATTTAGTTTGATYAGACCTTAATGGGTATAATATGCTAAATTCATCATAATTAGTCTAATTTGACATTGATTGGAGTGATTAAGGATCCATTTAGTGTTTTTTTTAAAGGAAACCAGGCAAATTTATAAACGCATTAAAGAGAATAACAACAAAAACAGAAAACGGACAAACCGCAACCTACAGCCAAAACCCCATGGCCTTGGAAAACACCCCATACCAAGCCACAACAAGCCAAAAGAAACAAAGCCCACAAGAATAAACAAACAACAAAAGATAAAAAAGAGGAGCTTAACCCAGACCAAACCTCCCCAAAACCAAAAATAGATCTTCATGTTAACCCGAATTACGCACACGACGACACACCAACCACTCCGCACGAATGGAGATAGAATCCTTAATAACTGTAATAAGTTGCAGAGTCGTGCGGCGATCCTCAGTAAAGAGTCTTCTATTTCGTTCTTGCCAAATATAATAAACAGCGGCTGCCACCGCAAGCTTCTGCTTTAATAATTTCGGATGACGATTAGAATCCGAGATAGCTTCTAAAATCTGATCCCACCTAGACGGCATATCCTTCAGATCCGTACTATGCAAGATGCTAGTCCATACATCTCCAGCATACGAACATTGAAAGAATAAATGTTCATGGCTATCCATACATTGACCACAAAGCAAGCACTCCAAATCCGGTGGTTCATCCTTCCAATGTAAACGATCTTGAGTAGGAAGCCTTCTCTGACAAGCCAACCATAAACAGAATGCATGCTTCGGAATATGGCCCGAGAACCATATCGATTTAGACCAAGGGACCACAAGATGATTTCCCTCTAAAGAAGCCCAAGCATTAGTCACCGTAAAATCCGAACAAGCATTGTAATCGTCCCCCCATAGAACTCTATCATGAACAGAGGTCAATAAAGGTAACGGAGAAGTATGAAGCACTGTAAACCTTTGACACCAATCATCAGGCCAAACACCATTCCAGCACATAATAAGATCACGAACCGTCGTTAAAGTAGAGAACCCACATGAATGGACAAATCGATAAGAGATAAAAGTGGAAAGAGGACCACAGATTACCAAGCATCCTCCCAAGCATTCGTATCCCGAACATCACCAATTAGGGATAAGAGGAACCGTCTTAAATGACTACGCAAGTCTAAAAGTTTACGAAAAACCCATGACCAATTTGAGTTCTTTCGCACCAGCCAGAAGTTCGATGACCGGAGAATATTACTATAAATACAACGAACCCACATAGGATCTCGGTGCCTTACATCCCACACATGTTTTGCAAGTAAAGCCCTATTCCAAGTAGATAATCTCTTAATTCCAAGACCCCCAGATTCAAGCGGTCGACATACCACATCCCAAGATAACCGACATCTACCACGAGGATCTTCCCTTAGAGCCCAAAGGAATTTCCGAAAAATAGATTTGAGATCATGGATTAGGCCAGACGGGAATAAGAATACCGACATCCAATGAAGTTGAAGAGATTGGAGAACCGATATAATGAGCTGACGCCTTCCTCTAAACGAAAGAAACTGTTGGTGGATACAATTGGCCTATTTCTCTTTAAGAAGTCCAGTTGGGTCAACACGACTCAAACTAGGTCATAATTAGTCGTTTTAGACCCTAATGGGTTTAATGGTCCCAATTCTCCATGAGGAGTCTAATTGGGTCAAAATGACACTGAATGGGCCATATTTAGTTTGTTCAGACCTTAATGGTTATCATGGGCTCATTTCTCCTATTTGAGTCTAATTGAGCCATAACGGGCGTATTTAGTATAATCGAGTCATTTAGGTCAAAATGACACAAAATGGTTCATAACTAATCTGATCCATAAGGATTCTAATTGGCTCAAAATGACACGAATTGGGTCATCTTTAGTTTGAACAGACCTTAATGGGTATAATATGATAAATTTGTGATAATTAGTCTAATTTGACATTGATTGGAGTGATTGAGGGTACATTTGGTGGTGGTGGATATAATTGTCCTATTTCTCCTTAAGAAGTCCAATTGGTTGAACATGACTCAAACTATGTCATAATTAGTCTTTTTAGACCCTAATGTGTTTAATTGTCCCAATTCTCCATAAGGAGTCTAATTGGGTCAAAATGACACTGAAAGGGCCATATTAAGTTTGTTCAGACCTTAATGGTTATCATGGGCTTATTTATTCTAAATGAGTCTAATTGAGCCATAACGGGCCTATTTAGTATAATCGAGTCGTTTGGGTCAAATGACACTAAATGTATCATAATTATTATGATCCATAGGGATTCTGATTGGCTCAAAATGACACAAATTAGGTTGTATTTAGTTTGATCAGACCATAATGGTATAATATGCTAAATTCATGATAATTAGTCTAATTTAACATTGATTGGAGTGATTGAGGGTCCATTTGGTGTTTTTTTTTTTTTTTGAAGGAAAACTTCGGGCAAATTTATAAAACGCAATAAAAAGGTTTACAACGCAACCAAAAAACAGAAAGACCGCAACCTACAACAAAGAGCCCCAAGGCCGAAGGAAACACCCCAACCGAGCCACAACAAGCCAAAATAAACAAAGCCCATAAGAAGCAAACAAACAACAGAAGAAGATAAAAAAGAGAAGCGTAACCCAAACCAACGCCCCCCAGAACCAAAAACAAGTCTTCAAGTCAACCATAAGTTACCACAGGACGACTCGCCAACCAATCAGCACGAATGGAGATAGACTCCCTAATAACTGCAGTAAGATCCTGAGTCGTACGCTTAGTCGCAGAAAAAAGTCTTCTATTACGCTCTTGCCAAATATAGTAAACAGTAGCCGCCACAGCAAGTTTCTGCTTTAACAGTTTCGGACGAGTATTAGGATCCGAAATAACTTGAACAATCTGTTCCCACCTTGAAGGCATACCCGACATATCCACCATAAGTAAAACACTAGTCCATACTGCTCCAGCATACGAACATTGAAAGAATAAATGATCATGATTATCCAAACATTGACCACAAAGCGAACACTCCAAATCTGGGGGCTCATCCTTCCAATGTAAGCGGTCTTGAGTCTGAAGTCGTCTCTGACAAGCCAACCAAAAACAGAAAACATGCTTCGGAATATGACCCAAGAACCAAACCGATTTAGACCAAGGGATCACAGGATAATTACCCTCCAAGGAAGCCCAAGCCTTACCTACTGTAAAATCCGAACACATAGTATAATTATCTCCCCAAAGAACTCTATCACTATCAGAGGTCAATAAAGGTAGCGGAGAATTATGAAGCATGTCAAACCGTTGACACCAATCATCAAGCCAATTACCATTCCAGTTTATAATAAGATCACGAACCGTCGTTAAGGTAGCAAACCCACGAGAATGGACAAACCGGTAAGAGATAAACGCAGATAGAGGACCACAAGGTAACCAAGCGTCCTCCCAAGCATTCGTGTTCCGACCATCACCAATTTGAGAAAAAAGAAACCGACGCAAATGACTCCGCAAGTCTAAAAGTTTACGAAAAACCCAAGACCAATTAGAATTCTTACGAACCATACAGAAATTCGAGGAACGGAGATTATTACTATAAATCCAACGAACCCACATAGAATCCCGTCGCCTAGCAATATCCCACACATGCTTTGCAAGTAAAGCCCGATTCCAAGTGGAGAGCCTTTTAATTCCAAGACCCCCAGATTCCAGTGGCCTACAAACCATATCCCATGATAATCGACATCTACCACGCGGATCTTCCCTTGGAGCCCAAAGGAATTTACGAAATATAGATTCATGATCATGAATAATACCAGATGGAAGTAAGAAAACCGACATCCAATGAAGCTRGAGAGATTGAAGAACCGATATAATAAGCTGACGCCGTCCACCAAACGAAAGAAACTTAGATTTCCAATTAAGTATACGGCTCTTCACTCTAGCAATCAGCGGAGCATAGTCACAAGACTTCAACCGAGATTGCGATAAAGGAACACCCAAATATCGAACAGGAAAAACACCAAGCTTGAAGGGAAGGCATTCAAGGATAGCCGCCTTAATGTTGGAAGGAACATTCCCAAAATAAATGTCACTTTTTTCAAGACTAGGCGCTAATCCCGAATAGTTCTGAAAAAGAACCAGAGCTTTTTTAAGCACTTCAACAGAAAGGACATCCCCTTTTGTAAAGACAAACAAATCATCCGCAAAACATAAGTGAGTCAAATCCAAATCCTCACAACCCCGATGGTAACCAAAGTCAGCAGCCTCCCGAATACACTTTTGAAGTAGCAGAGAAAATCCCTCCATAACAATTGTAAACAGATAGGGGGACAACGGATCACCCTGACGAAGACCCCTCCCTCCAAGAAAAAAACCATGGGAATTACCATTAATGGCTAAAGAATAAGAAGGAGTCGACACCATCTCCTTTATCCABTTGACCATAACAGGGTGAAATCCCAAACCTTCAAGCATAACAAAAAGGAACCGCCAATCCACCGTATCATAAGCTTTTCTTATATCAATTTTGAACGCACAACGAGGCGGACCCGTATTAGATTGATAACCAGACACAAGTTCATGCGCCATAAGGATATTATCCGTAATCCTTCTCCCCGGAATAAAAGCCGATTGAGCTTTATCATTTAAAAAATCCAAAGATCCCTTCATTCTATTAACAATGACCTTACTAATGCATTTATAAAGCACAGTACAGCATGCTATAGGTCAGTAATCCGTGACCTTAGAAGCATTAATAGATTTAGGGATCAGACATAAAAGCGTATGATTCAAGCTCTTTGGGAGATTACCTCGATAAAAGAAATTGTGAATTGCAATCTCCACATCACGGCCAACAATGTCCCAAGCCTCTTTGAAAAACTTAAAAGAATACCCATCAGACCCAGGCGCTTTATAATTACCAATGCTAAACATAGCATTTTCAATTTCTTCATTGTGAATTGGTCTGATCATATGGTTAGCTTCCACCAAAGAAAGTTTACGCATGAAAACATCATTAGTCATAGTCGGATCAGAAGAAACATACCTCGTACCCAGAAAGTCTTTAAAATRATCCACAAAMACATTAGGCACATCATCACCATAGACATAAGCTCCATCACTTGTACACACAGACTGAATAGAATTGTAATGATGCCGTTCTTTAATCACTTTATGGAAGAATTTGGTATTCAAGTCACCTTTATTCAACCATGCAATTTTGGCACGTTGTTTCGTGGCACAATTTTCATCCCTACATGCATTTTGATACGCAATACGAATATGAYCCAACTCCTGGCCTAGCTCAACATTAGAAGGATCATTATCAACATCCAATTGGATACGATCAAGTTCAGTCTTCAAAAAGGCAACACGCTGACCAAGGTTGCCATAAGAATGACGAAGTTTCCGAAGAGGAATCTTCAGAGCCTTCAAATGAGAAGTCACTCGAAACATAAAAGAACCCTCGATATTATTTGCCCATTCATCCTTTACAACTTGAAGAAAACTTGGATGTTCAGTCAAGAAATTGTCAAATTTAAACCCATGCCTTTTTTTCCAAATGCCGCATCTGAAAGAAACCGTCACTGGAGTATGATCCGAAAGACCCAAAGGATGGAAATGAACATTAACATCTTGAAAAACAGATGTGAACTCATCATTGCCCATAGCTCTATCCAGTTTCCGCATGATACCCCCCGAAGAGTTCGGTTTTTGGTTCCACGTGAAATGGATACCCGTATAATGTAAATCAAATAATTCCACATCCTCTACAAACGCATAAAAATCAGCCATATCCAAGTTACGACGAGAGGAGCCTCCAAAACCATCATGAGGGAATAACATGGTGTTAAAATCCCCCATTACAACCCACGGGGAAGAACYAATGAGCACTTTAAATTTCCGCAGCCCCGACCATAAAGCACGACGGGCAGTACAAACATTAGCCCCATAAACAAAAGAAACGAAAATATAATRTTGACTACCCCGAACAAGCACCTTACAATTTAAGTATTGACTATGAGCCTCTAAAACCATGACATCTAAAACTCGAGCATCCCAAGCAAGGATTATACGAGTACCATACTC